ACAAAAAAAAAAAAAAACAAAAAAATCGATCATGGATTACAAGAAAAGAAAACAAACATTTCGATCATGGATTACAAAATATTCTATTATGGGTTACAAAAAACCAAAAAATTCGATCATGGATTACAAAAAAACAAAAACAATTCGATCATGGATTACAAAAAAATCGATCAAGTATTACCAAAAAATCGATCAAGTATTACAAAAAAATCTGTCATAGATTACAAAAAAAAAAAAAGAAATTCCGTACGGAATCGCCGATTCACTGTTCGGACTCGCCGATTCCGTACAGTAAATCGGCGATTCACTGTACAAAATCGTCCGGTTTTCTCTAGAACCGGACGATTTCCGATTTTTGGGCGATCCGGTCCCCTTTTCACGATTTCCAAGTCGAACCGGGCAAGTCCGGTTCGACTCAACGTTTTTTAAAACACTGAGTTCACCTAATGATTTTCTTATTTTAATTTATTTTTGAATTTTTTGCCTATATTTTAATCATTTGTATTTGAAAAATGGAACAATCACCCACTAAGTGCACCAACTTTTTACTGGACAGGCCCCTCCGCCAATTCAAACACCAGTCCAGTCCTAATAACACTGGTTTTAAGTTTTGCCATTCTTTCCGATTCAAAGTTACAAGACAAAATAGTGGGAGCAAAGACTATTCAACAATTGTCAACTGATTAGCTGCACTCAGTGAGATACAGATTACGGAACTGCTAGACTGAACACTTTTTTTACAGGATCAATTAACCAAAAATTGAATAAGCCCAAGGTTTAAGAAATAAAGTTTCTAATTGACAAGAAAATAGAGCCAATTATAGGGGAAGAAAATGAGCAATTAGTACTTAAGTAGCAAACATGAGGAAGCCTGCAACTTCACTATCTCATTTAACAGAGAAGACAGCAAAAGAAATTCACAACTCTAATTACAATCAGGAGGCCTTTAAGGGGGCTAGCTCCTCTAACAAGTACTGTATGGAAAGAAAATGACAGAAGACTAGTCACAATCAAGAGGAAGCTTTCAATTTGGCTATCTCCTCTAATAGATACTTTGACTCAGCTTCCCAATCAACAGGGGCCTGAGCCCTGACTGTTATCCTTTGCCTCTTCTCATACTGGTATTCATTTTGTGCAACACTAACTCGAAAGAGATGGGGAACCCACAGCGGTTCTTTCAATCGAGACTGATATTGTTGTTCATCCTACAACAAAAAAAAACAGACATTTAGAGACTAACATCTCTGTGTGATAGAGAAATCAACAAGTTAATGTAGCTGCTCTTCTATATTTGCATAATAAAGGCATACAATATATATTTTCATAGAAAGAGAGAGAAGTATTATTTTGGTTTGCTGATATCCTTCACACACCCATCTTTGTATGTGAGAGAAAAGCACTGAATAAAGTTGCCGTTATCATTGTCTGGTCTGACTTTTTCAATGCACTTACATCTAATTTTATCTTCTCAAGCTCATCTGCAGAGCACCCAATGATTCTCTCAGCTTGTTCATTGAACACAGAAAGCCAAGCTTCAGCCTTCAAATCAGTTGCCTTAGCCACCATGATGTATCTGCCCATGAAAAATCTTCAGTGATTATGGACTTGAAGATTTAGAAAATGGAAAATAAGGGTATTTCGAATTTGATTATTCACCTTAAACTGCTTTCAGCGTCATTCTTTTGGCACCCCTCACACCAATAACCTGACCCAATGGCCTCTGTAACCTTTTTGTTGCAAACTTTGCATGCCCTATACCACATGGCCTGGTCAGGCTTGATGAAGCTTACATAAGTTTTTACACTGAAAAATACAGGCTGGACATGAAAACAAGCAATCAGAATTTTACAGGATTGGATCTAAACTGTGAAAGGCTTTCAATTGGTGAAACATCTCTCTCTCTCTGACATGAAAATGGAATGAACCACAAGTATAACATCTTCTTGTATTTGGTGAACTATGGGATCAATTACCTTATCTTGGCCCAAGGATGGATCATCAACAATTTGAGAAAGGAAGACTCTATCCGAATAAAACGATCTTGGGCCAAGTTTTGATGAGTTTGAGATAACACTAGAACCAATAGAAGCCATGGAAGTTCCTTTACCTTCAGTGTCATACCTTAGAAGATAAATGGCAAGAATAAGTACAAGAGTTTCTGGTTAATAACATTTGAAAGACAAATAAACAAGCGCCGTCCATTAGACCATTACCAAGATCGCAGCTTCTTTGCCTCTGGTGTATCTGGATTGACGGCCACAATACTTCTACTTATCATTGATAGAGAGACTCCTAAAAGAGACAGTCTATGTAAGTGCAGAACGACATATGTTAAGAATAAAATTCCTTTCAAATAAAAAATCAAATAACAAATAATAACAGAACTAAAGCCCTAAGAGAAGCATCAATTCAAAGAAGAAACAACAAGAACATTACATAGATAACCTGTGAATTCTCTCTCCCTCACCTTCTCCCTCTCCCTCTCCCTCTCCAGGAAAAACAAGCACATTAAATTTAGTGTTGTAGATGATTCGGGGATGTACCTTGAAATTCACCAACTTTAAGACTTTTAAATGCGACTATAGGTGCAGAATCAACAGAATCCTGCAATTCTTGTCCCACTGTAGTTGCAGCATCATTCCATAAGGATATTGTCACAGTCTTCTCACTGCAAATAAACGAAGAACCTCTCACTGATGTCAGTCTTCTGACTGTAATTAAATGAAGAACCTCTCGATGACAAAGCATAGAAAGAAGAGAGAGAGAGAGAGAGAGAGAGAGAGGAGCAACAACAAACAATTCAGTGCACTATCACTCAGTGTAGGAGAGGGCAAAATGACCTATTTTCTTTCTTTCTCAAAAAGTAATCCAGAACAAATCTAAATGCGAGTGGTAACACTCAGGTGGTGAGTTTAAAGAGACTTACGAATCATCTGCAATAGTAATTTCGCGTTTGGGGATTTCTTCATTGTTGCTTTTCCTACGAATACTCAGAGTGTTGGAAACACTCTGAACAATCCCAATGACATCTGCAGAAATACATAGGAAACAAACACAACTGTTAACAACAAATGTAGGTTGTTGAATATAACACAAAACCAACACTTTATCCAAGCTTATGAGCATACCAACAAGTTCCCTCCCATTCACATAAGGACCCAATTGATCAATCTTGACAAAGTTGTATTTTGTCTCTGGGACAAAGGATTCTTCTCCAGCTACTTCTTCAACTACAGAATTCTCATTCAATGTCATCTCATAATCATTTGGAACAGTTCTAAACTGCTTATTAGCCACCCTTAGGGTCCCTTTAGATATGTAATATGTCTTTCCAAGCTCAAATATTGTGTAGAATTTTTTTGCAGCTTCATTAAACATGGTGGCTTGGATCTGAGTGCCCTGAAACCCCAAAAGAGAGGTCAACATTATCCTTGCTTTCTAGAGAATTGTGGTAAATATATGGATTTCAAAGTTAGAAAATACAGAGTTTGTGAAAAATGGAATCTATATATGCCCACATAATCAGAAGGTTATCTAGGGAATAATAAAGAAAGAGCATAGAGAGAGAAGAAGCGATGGTGCTTTACTCACATCTTCATCTGTTAATTCAACATTAAAAACACACCCTTCTCCTCTTGCATTTTTGTAGGTCCGAAGATTGCCTTTGTTTGTGAGGCGAACCTTTATTGTCCAGCTCCCCTGATAGGGATTCAATGAAACAAGGGGATGGACCCTTTTGGTCATTGCCATTCGAGCAACAGGGGCAGCACTAAAAACCATTGATACAAGAAAAGAATTAGAACCATGCAAAGAATACACATAAAACCAGAAACACAATTTCCCATGAAACCTCTTCAGGCATGCATTTGAAGATAAGTTAAGTGCTAAGCTTTTGCACTGAAAGAGAGAGAGAGAGTGGTCTTTTCCCCCTACAAATTAGAGTAATAATACTTGCCATAAAAAGAAAACCCAAAATAACACACACACACGCAAACAGAGAGATGACCATCTTCTCAAGGGTTAGCAATATTCAAAATAATTTCTATCGGAACAGAGATGGATATAAAAAGGGATATAGGTAGATGTTCATTTCATAAAAGATCAGCACGATTAAAGCCATTTCATAGCAGAAACAAACACAATTAAGTAGAGAAAAAAATCATATTTTCATTCATATGAAGAATACCCACAACTTTTTAAAACAAGAGAAACACAAGTCAGAGAATGAAGAAAAAAGACATACACACAAGAAGCAGATAAGGAAGGCACTCACTTTACGCGCCCTCCCATAATCTGAGCTGCTGACTTCGCTTCAGTTTCCACCTTCGGCTTTAAATCAATCCCTGTGCCTTCTGCCTTAACCTTGCGTTCTTCGCTAATGTGAGCTGCTGACTTCACATCGGTTTCCACCTTCGGCTTCAAAACAATCCCTGTGTCTTCTAACTTGACCTCTGTCTTTACTTCAGCATCCAGTGCAGGGGAAACCACTTCACATTTTGTAACTATCAAAACCCTGCAACAACAATTTATAATTAAAAACAAATGATGAAAATGCACCCCACAAAGAGAGAGAGAGAGAGAGAGAGAGAGAGAGAGAGAGAGAGAGAGAGAGAGAGAGAGAGAGAGAGAGAGTAGTAGTAGTAGTA